AAATACATATACAAATACATATATATATATATATATATATATATAAATACATATTATACATATAGCTTCACACTAACCTTGACAGTCCAGAAGTCACAGGACAGCAGGAGGATGATGGAGACCATAGAGGCAATGAAACGAACGCTGAGGACCTCGCACAGTAAATAAACCGCTATTGCGCATGTCCGGAAGAAGAGGTGGAAGAACGAAACCAAGGGATATCTGAAATAATTTTAGCCTGCTGTTCAATGTGTCAGAATAGGTTTGGCTGTGTATACACCAAATCAGATCTCTTACCTAACTTTAGACCTTTTTAGCTGCAGGTTGTCGTCCTCTTCACCGAACAGAGGAGAGTCTTGAGAGTCCTGAAAACATAAAAAAAAACTTAGCTTCGACGCTAACAAAACAACATTCTGGCTGTTACCTTAACTTATAATCACAGGCAAACTCGTTTTAACTGGAAATATTGATGAACACATGATGTTCCTTTATTAAAAATGATTGTCCCTTAGTTGCGATAAAACTACAACATATTAATTACCTGTCTCCGCATTTTGGACACAAGCAAGATGAATTTCCTGGAGACGTGGACGTAAACAAACGCTTGTGCGAAGGACCCCAGAGAACGGGTGGGTGCCCATAAATGTGCCAGAGTCAAGTCTATTTCTTTATTTATTTGAAATGAACCACATTTACTCTTTTTAATTGTCAAACTTTCAGCAAGTGTGTCAAGTGCAAAACATTTGGGGAGTGGTGGCGCAGAGGTTAGAGAAGGTGGGCCTGTGAGCGGAAGATCGCCGGTTCAAGACCCGGTACCGACAACATCAAAAATGTGGGTGGGGTATGTGAAGCACCCACACCTGCCCCCACCCTCATTCTCCCCATTCTGGGCCCATGAGCAAGGCTCTTAACCACCATCTGCTCCCTAAACAGGTCTCTCTTGAAAATGAGTTCTCGTGGCTCAGTGAGACTACCTGGATAAATAAAGGGTAAATGAAAAACTGATAGACTCGAAATTGTTTCCTAGACTAGAGGGTTTTATATCTGTTAAAGATGCTTTTTATGTACATATTTGGTTCAGCTCACAAAAACAGTATGCAATGCGTTGCTTATTGTTTCATTTAAGTTTGAACGATATGTATTTATTAATTTATTGTAACTTTGTGAAAATTGCAGAAGAATCCTGACTGAAAAATGTTGGATTGTATACCTGGATTATTGGGCATGGATTTGGGGTTATTACAGAAGGACGTTGACGGCTTGCAGTGATGCTTTTTTACCACCAGGAGGCTCTGTTACACACAAAATAAAATAAATTAATCTCGTATTTTTATGCTCGTTGATTCAAAAACAGCACTTCAGTTATGTGTCATTTTCAGTTTAACTCTTTCAGTACTTGTTTACTAAACAATTGTTTCTGACCTATCTCTACCCATTCATGAATAAAAGGCATCTAAATTCAAGGGATAGCTTTGAGATAAGAATAGACGTCACTGATTCTGTTCATAACTTTTATGGACTCTCCTTGGCCTCCCTGGTAAGGTCCATTCAGAGGTACCGAAGAAGCCCATGTCCAGCTGTCACTGTTCAAGAGGCAAGGGACATTCTGGACAGGTCTCCAGTCCATCACAGAGAAACATAGAGACAAACAAGACAAACAAACATGCACTCTCTCACTCACACATAGGGACAATTTACCAATCAGCCTGCATGTTTTTGGTCTGTGGGAGGAAACTGAACTATCCAGAATAAAACGCACGCATGCACGGAGAGAACATGCACACTCCACTTAGAATGGCCCCCCGGCTGGGATTCAGTCTGGCAACCTTCTTGCTGAGAAGTGGTAGCTTTACCAACTGTGCCACCTTAGCTTAGCAAGAAGCATTTTAAAAATGTATCTTTAGCCACTTTATTAGTTTGTCGCAAAAGAGTTGACTTTATACTAAAAACACATAAATTAATATTTTATCACCATCCGTATTTGTAAATTTGACGATAGCCACTGTTAACTAGCTGTGTTGTGCATTCTAAATTTGTCTGATTCCAAAGGTAATCAGCACTAGATGTACATCAAATGATTTCTTTCTGAAAGCGTCAATAAAATACAGCCAGTGAGTTATTAAATATTTTGCTAACAGACAGATAGAGTTAACACCAACGGTCCTCGAGTAGCACTTGGAATATATTTAGTGAATATCTTGTCTACACTAAATCCTAGCTCGTTCCCTTGTGGTGTATGCAGACAGACGGTTCTTCTCGTCCTGAGCATTTCATTGCATTGTTGACCTTGTGCTGATCTGCATACGACAATAAACCAAAACCTAAAGAGTTATAGCCAGTTTAATTTGGGGGGGTTAAGTTCATCTGTCTGTGATGACCATCTTGACTTAAGTTGTGTGGAATTCTGTGCTTTGTCCTGTCTTTTCTGTATCCTTGTGGTTCATGCACTCCCCAGTGTTCCCCCTCCTGTCGCACCTGTCTCCAGTTCCAGTCACCCCAGGTGTTTGTCGTCATGTCTCGTTAGTGTCTGTATTTATTCAGCGTCTTTGTCTCTTTTCGCTGTCTGTGGATTGTCTTGTCGAGGCTGTCATGCTCTGTTCTTCCTCTCCTCTCCTCATCCCTAAAAGTACGTTTTGCTGCCCCGTCAGCAAAACAAAATTTAAATCATTTACTTTTATCTTGGAGTTTCCCATTGTCTGTCTGCACACGGGTTCAAACAACTAAAATAACAGAATCATGATTGGTTGACTCCATTAATTAATTAGCTTTAGATGTCCATCAAATTATCACTTTCTGCACATTTTATTAAAATTAATCCTGCGGTTCATGGTCTATATTGGTTACAGACACTTTATACTTTATTTCAGCAATTGGACAATAATAAAGAAACTGGGTGGTTTAAAACTTTTTGGAAAAAATAGACTTATTTGTTTTGACGTGGTACAAAAAAAGTTTCTCATTTTTATAAACTGGTCGCTTTGATATTTTTGCATACAAGATATACACAGTATATTCATTTGAATTATGAAAAGAGCATTTAAAATACATTCACTTTGTCACATAATTTACAATAAAACAACAAAACAATGTTCTTCTGTCAGTCATTACTTCAAAAGATGAATCTACACAAAGGAGTTTGATAATGTCCAACAAGAGCTTCCTGTTCAGTTTTAAAGTGCAGCTTTATGAGTTTAGAAAAACTTCCAAGAGGCTGGAGACTGAGTGCATTCGGTAAAAGATGGCAAAGGGAAGACCCACGTTCACGAGGACAGCCCACATGCTGAACTGATAGAACTCAGTTTCAGCGTCATGGTCAAACTGAGGACGAGCTCCAAACGCAGGCATGATCCACAGCTGTGGAAGACACAAACAAAGGGTTAGTATTCAGTCCGTCTCAGTTCAACAGTGAATTTAAGGGAGCAAAGTACTCACAATGACGTTGCCCAGCAGCAGAAAGGCACAGACCTCCCTCAGCACTCGCCGCTTCCACGACAGTTTGTGATGTTCCACCGTCCCACTATGGTTCTGTGCCTCTGCATCGGCGCTTTTCTCCATGTCGACTTTTTCAAGGTTGCCCTCGTCTTTGCTTGAATTTGTCGCGTATGGATTTACCACCACTGTGTCTGCTTCATGGAAGGGCTGTCGATGCAAACCTTCAACTATGAAATAGTTCTGCAGACCAAGATGGATCAACATCAGCAAGCCCCAGGTCAAGTTAAGCACATTCAGGTAGCCTTTGGCTCCGGTCGCCACCATGGCCACGATGGAAAAGTAGCTGATGATGAACTGGCCCAGTGAGGATCCCACCAGCAGCCCCACATCTAGGCTGCGGGTGGGGTTCTTCTCAGTGCTGTGCTCCCTGTGATCCACCTTATAGATGGCACAGCCGATGACGGTGCAGATGGACATCAAGGCCACGATGACTATATTCATGACAAAGTGCATCATCACGGCATTGTCTCTGCTTTTCTCGTCATAATAGTTGGTCTTCATTTCAATCTCGTACATGGCAAACGTCGCCAGGCCTGCGACCACCAGGACAACCCCCAAAGTGGGACCGACCACGATGTTCTTGATGCTAAATTTGATGTGGTGGCTGAATTCGGCTGATACTCGCCCTACATTCTTCCACATAACGTAGGCCATGGCTGAGGCACAGAGGCAGTACTCAATATTGAATGGGTACAGGTAGTAGTAGGCCTCCTTGAAGAAAGTGCATGAAGTGTGGCTGCATGCACAGGATTCATCTCCATAACCAGCTGTGAGACAGGAAACAGCACAAAAGTAGGAAAGTGTTATTCCGCGGATGCTTAAAGACTATAGGATCTATTTTTTGTTTCTTTGTCAGCTTCAGTCACCTCTGTTGATGTACAGGCTTCGTCTTGAGAGCTTGGTGGTGTTGGTCAGGTAGTCAGGTTCTGTTGTTTGGTGGAGAGACTCCTCAGTTACTTCGGTCATCCAAATAACTAGGTTTGTAGCGAGGGTGAGCATCAGCCCACAGCTGAAACAAGAAAAAACAGAAACTTAAACTATAATCAGATACATTTAAAACATAAAACTAGCTCCATCTGAGCACAACATCTAACAATTGACATTTAAGATTCATAAAGGTGCATTTTTTTTGTTAGATCAATCAGTTCATTTTGCGGCATAAAGGGAATTTGAGATGGAGCAAACATCTAGCAGGCTCTGAGAGATCACATGTTTAGAGACAAAGCAAACTAAAATAAAGATGGAAATGTCCGAACCACTCACCAGGACAGGTTCCTTTGCAGCTGCACGCAGTCTTTTGAATGGATCCACAGAAAGTACGTCTGCAAATTTAATGTGCATGTAGCTTTAATGTGTTGCACCTATCAAAACTGGATGATCTAAACCATGCATGCTGGATTTTAATCGTTTATTTATTTTTTTATTCATACCTGCACAAGAGTAAAGACGAGTTGCACCACAGGGAATACGACTTTAACAGCAGAGTCACAGTGGAGATATCCCACGTAGCCAGTGATCTTGAAAATGTCCATGATGATGCTGAGAATTCCAAACAGCACAAGTCCACCTGGAGAGGTAAACACGCAGAACACAGGAAAAGTCATGCAACTGTCCAATAATCGGTTAGCGCGTTAAATATTTTGTCTTTAAATGTTTCTTACCTCTGAGCCATATTGGTCCGGCATGCTCATCCCTGTAGGTGACAGCATTTGGGTTCTTGGTTGTGTAAATGGTGTAATAGACCATCCAGATGGCAGTGAAGAGGACGAGGAGGATGAGGTAAACCTCCAGGTCTGGAAAGCTGATGTTGGCGGAGGTTGAAGTGCTGCCACTGACCAAGGAGCAACCCAGCATGAGAATGTTCAGGCAGATGAACCCAGACAGCGTCCACCCCCAGTTTCGGCCTGTTTCCCTCACCACTTCAGTGGAGGTGGCCGGGTCGAGTTCGCTCCCGCTCCACGGGTGACTCGCTGTGCTGATGTTGGGTGGGTGCGCCGCCTCCATGTCTCGGTCCTTGCCTGTCAGCTTGCAGGGATCACACAGGCTGCCGCTGGCCAAACAATCACAGGGAGCCTTGGGGTTGCAGCACATGTCTCTTCCCTCAGAAGTGGACTGATGGCTGCAGCTGGAAGCAGATATGAGAGATGGCAGGTTGAAGAGCTACGCCCAAACACCAACCCCCCATTTAAAAGCAGATCCCGCCCTAAACTTGGACATAAACTAACTAACTGTCATCTAGTTGGCTCTGCACAACTTTCTTTATGTATTTTCCTCCTGATCGTGATTCCCATTAATGATTTTAACATGTAAACTCCTATCATTTCAATCAGTGATCTTTAAACAACAAAGAAAATGCTTCAAGGTGCTCAGGAGCCTACCTGTGGAAATGTGGTTCTGTGAGTCGTCTGAGCTGCTGCGGCTTTTATATGTCCTGGAAACGTTGCTGTTTACGCACAAAGAGTGAAAAAATGTCAATGTGTTTTCAACAGCAGGGTGTCATCTACAAACAATGTATGTTTGACCCCAAATAATGATGCAGAGTTCAGCAGAAGGTTCCTGGAAGTGAATTTTTCTCATGTATTTTACAATTGGAGAAACAGGTTTCAAGTAAACAGCGTGTTTTTTTTTTATTTTTATTTGACACAAAACATCTGGATGGTTGTTACAAACGTATCGTGTGTGCACGCGTGCGCAAGACGGTGTTGCACCGTACATAATCGAGAACTGCAAAAATAAACTCCTTTTTGCGTTTTTAAAACTACTTTAAAAAGCTTTTTGTTATTGTCTTAACCTGCAACCAAAATAAATAAAAAAAAAAAAAAGACACCCGTTCTCTCCAAAGGCACAGCTTTCTGCTCACTGATCCTTTGGATTCCCTGCCTGGAGGGAATACTTTGAGTTCTTTAATGCTCCTCGCGGCACTATGAGGAAATGCTGTTTTGTTGCATGTGAGGCGTGGTACATGAAAGGTGTGCTCAGACCTAATACCTTTTGTCGTACACCGTTCTGATTCTGTTTGAGAATGTGCCACTGGTGAAACTAACTCGGGAGCGTCTATCTTTTTTCATCGGGGTGAGGCTACATGCTTTATTTAAAGCGGAAACTATAAAATAAAAATGCTTAATTAGGCATGAAAAATGAGACGATGACACAGGACTTGATCATTTTAAGAAGTAACTTGCCACCTTGCCATTTGACGGAGCATTCTTAAACACAAATATACTTTTTTTTTCCCCACATTCTGCTTCCAAGCAGCCAAACTTTATCACATTTTGATCAATAGTTCCAAGATTTCTGAGGCTTTTTCAGATTTTCGTTGGACACAGTCTGCTTTTCACAAATCAGTCCGTACGCATGGCCATAACTTTTTGTGCAAAGTGTGCTTAAGATTGAGGGAATACGTACAAGTGGAGGACAAAGACCAAGTGTCCAAACCAATGGAAAGGCTGTCTCGGAGAGTATAAAGTCATACCTTTAGGGAACAGGAAAAATAAAACTTGCAGAAGTGACATCGGACAAACGCTGATCATACTGTGCCAATATTTCAGCTGAATAACCCTTTGAAAGTCTCTTCGATTGGTTCTAAAATATTACCTTCTATTTGTCAATTTGGGTAATTTATTTCAAACTTTTAAATAAGGACATAAAAACAAGTAGTGTATTTTTGACAGGCTGTTATGAAAGGGCTTAAAATCCTATTTAAAACTGCCTCTTGAAGTTTTCTGTTATGACATTTGGTTATGGGTATAAAAAGACACGTGTCCACCAAAACAGGGTGCCTGCAGCACAAGACATTTTATTTATTTTATACTTTCTTTTATCTCATTTCTCACGAGTTTTTTCTCAGACCAACCGGGTCAAGCCTATTTTTACATGAGGCCAAATTCAAAATGAATAAACTGATCAAAAACCAACACCCACCCAAAAAAAAAAAAAAAAGTTTATTAAAAAAATACATTTTGTTGTTGAAACATTTTAAGTGATCAATTCACAGGAAAAAATCCCCAAAAAGCGTCATCTGGACTGAATAAAGAGCAAAATAAGTCTAAAGATAACTCTTGCACACACTTTCAGATGTACTGGATTAAAATTATTTTCCTAAAACATTATGAAGAACACATTTAAAGAAATGTGTCTTAATGTAATTCCATGAATGAGCTAATGGGAACAGTTTAGACCTAAACAGAACAGTAATGACTAGAGGCAAAATGAGGGTCAGGGCTTGTTTTCTTTCTTTTTTCCCCCCAGTATCTATTAAAGCTTAACTGGTTCTAAACCAGCTCATAATTAACTCGCTTTAAGAAGAAGTTTCTTGGTAATCAAAAGAAACAACAAAAGTGCACCTGTCACATCAAGTAAAGTTTAATAACCGTCTGCATTAGCGGGCTCAGTGCGCGTGTTCTGATCCACGTCCACCGGGAGCACTGTTGGTCCACGCACACGGTGAGCCCGGTCGCGTCCTTGGAAACCACCGACGCGTTGCTCCGGGTCCTGACGCGAGTGTCTCGGTGTGGACGGTGGGCCAGTGCCCGGCGCGTCACAGCCATGGCGCTGCTGTTCGTGAAGATAAACAGGATGATGATGATGATGAGATGGACCGGACGGATCGGTGGATTAACTCTGCACCATGAATGACAGGTACCACAAGGCGGCCCGGGACGGGTACCTGGACCTGCTGAAGGAGGCGACCAGGAAGGAGCTGAACGCGCCGGACGAGGATGGCATGACCCCGACGTTATGGGCGGCTTACCACGGCATCCTGGAGGCCCTGCGGCTGATCGTGTCCCGGGGGTGGGTACGACCCATCACAGCACCCTCACACTTCTTCTGATTGACACTTTTAATCTCTGTTGCAGTTTTACTAAAAAAGAAGCGCGGGTAAAAGTATTTCTTAAAGGAATGCATATCGCCCGCCGCCTCAGTAACGCTCAGTGCGTGTGTTGTGGATGACTCTCAGCTGCAGCAGCATAAAACTTTAGCTCTTAATCTGAAAGGGTGCCCCAGTTATAGCCGTGTTGGTGTTTTAGATGGCTGCAGCAGCCAGACTGTCAGACTGACAGAAGTTGGTCAGATTTTTAATTTATTCTTTTTATTCAACTTTTATTTATACAGTCTCACTGAGTCACGAGGGCTCATTTCCAAGAGAGGCCTGTTTGGGAGCAGATGGTGGGGGTTAAGGGTCTTGCTCAAGGGTGAGGCAGATGTTGATATTTCACCGTTTCCACCCACATTTTGATGTTGTCCATCTAGGGAGTCGAACCGGCAACCTTCCAATCACAGGCCCACCTTCTCTAACCTCTGTACCACTCCCCAATAAGAGCGGTTAGTGGTTAGATTAACACCTTTTAATTGTTGTCTCAAAGATTCATTACCATGCGTCCAGTGGTTCATTAAATATTTTGCTAACAGACAAACAGGATCAACTCCAACACTATATGCTAAAGTTTGAGGTAAAGATCGGAGCACAGAGTTGCACTTGGTTTTTGAGTTGGGAATGATTGCCAGCTACAACCACAGCAAATGTTAGCACAATATCTATAAAGTTGACAAATTTATAGACATTTTTGTGTTTTCTAAATTCAGCTGTCTGTATTGGCCGTCTTAAATTGGGTTGACTTTATTTAGTAAACAGTTGTAGAGGTCTATCTACTGATTATTTACTGAAAGTTTCATTAAAATCCGTCCAGTGGTTTACAAGATATTTTGCTAACAGACATAGTTGACACCAAATAGTTATTTCTTATTCAAGTACTACACCATGAACATTGAGAAATCTGTTCAAACACTGAAAAAAGAACAAAAATAGAAGTGTTTGAATGTTTTTAATATTATAAAATGTATTATATAATTTAAAATGTTATTTTTCAGCACCATAACTCTCATCGTCAATATGCTGAGATTAATATAATGATGTTCAATATGAAAACTTTAGCGTTGACTGCCAAACCTAAATCAGTGGTGCATTTAAAAAGAGAAGCACATTTGCCTACAAGCAGTCTTTACAGATGACTCATATAATGTGATGACTCAGAACAGTTTAATTTATTTTTAATTGTCTGATTTGATCATTTCATTGCAGGAAGAAGTAAAATTAACTTAATTCAGAGAGACGATGTCTAATGTTAAAGTTGAACACGTCTTAGCAAACTGTTCAAATCTGATCTGGTATTTTGATGCTACGGCACATTTCTCTTCTCATTTGGTTGACCTGCTTTGCATGCCAGCCAGAAAAAAAAAAAACGAGTTTGCCTCACTGAGTAATTTTAAAAGAGGCAGCCTCATTCAATCATGTCCAAACCGTCCCATGCAAAGCATAACTGCATAATTTTAGAGCCCGGCTTTCCCTGAAACACATTATGAGTAAAGATTAAATCTTTTTTTTTTTTTAACGTTTCATCCCTTCTGAAACTTCCATTTCTAACGGGCGGTTTTCAGGAGCCAAAATAAAAACCAACTTTTCCGCTCTCAGGTCACGACCTTCACTTTAATTCAGCATTTCCCATGAAAAAAAACATGCAAACAAACCCTCAGTGGCATTTGGATGCTAAGGGCAATTGATTTTTTTTTTAACTGACAACAGACATGAAGTACTGGAACAAAAATTAAACATTAATATGCCATAAGTCAAGTTCATGAGACATTATATCATGCAGAGAAGTTTAACATGGGAAAGATACCATCCCTTCTATATTTAGCACATTTATTGCACCGTGCTACCTGCAGGAACATCAAACTGTCACTGAAAGTGAAGATTCAGGCTGTAAGTTGATATTGACGTGGGGAGCAGACACTGCTCACGGATATAAATTATAGGCTAACACATAAAGCTAGCATATTGCATAATAGCTTTGTATAAATATTATATAATCTGAACTCTAATAGCAATAAATACTTCATTCTGAGTTCATTTGTATTTCTATTCTTTTAATTTATAACCTTTACTTTATATAATCTTTTTTTACATTGTGCAAACAGTGTTACTTTTTCTTTTGTTTGATTATTGTTTTATTGTTCCTTTTTTGGGCTGTTTGCCACTGACAGTCAATAATTCTGAATTATGGGCTCCCCTACCTTCGTATGAACCTCATCCTGGACTAACATTTCATTCAACCTTTATTTAGACAGGTAAATCCCATTGAGCCTCGAGGACTCATTTACAAGAGACCTGATTTCAACAAAGAATGATGACAACAATGGACAACAGCGACAACAACAATAATAACAATGACAGCAATAAACAGTTATAAAAAGTCATACTAGAGTTGTTTTATTTATTTATTTATTTATTTACAAATAGGATGGCTAAATTAAAAAAGCTAACAAAAAAAACAGCTAGATTCTAAGGCGAGATTCTAAGGCTAGATTCTAAGGTGAATGTAGAAAGCTAAAAACAGGAACATGTCTGCATTGGTCCCTGCCAGGAGTCCAACAGATTCTTAAAGCCACTTAGAGAGGTCAAGGTCGAGAGCTTCAATTGTTTTTGTAAGGTATTCCAGGAAACAGGAGCGGAGTAGGAGAAGGCCCTTTTGCCTAGTTCAGTCCTCATTGAGGGAACACTGCAGGTAATAATGTCCTGAGAGCACACGCCGTAGCTGCACTCACGTAGAGACATGTAGGAAGAGATGTATGAAGGCAGCAGACCAAGAAGTGATTTAAAGATGAAAATGTACCAGTGGGAGAGTCTGTGTGAAGTTAATGATGTCCAGTTAACCAGTGAATACAGGGTGCAGTGGTGGGTATGATAATCACAGCCAGTTATGAATCTTAGTGCACCATGATAGACAGCATCCAACATCTGCAGGGTGCTTGTAGGAGCGTTCATGTAAATAATGTCACCGTAGTCAATGGAGGGAAGGAAAGTCACAGATACAAGGCGTTTCCTAGCATTCAGAGTTAGACGGGATCTGTTTCTGAAAAAGAAACCCAGTTTAACTTTCAGTTTCTTTACCAAGTTTTCCATAATGAAGCTTAAAAGAGAGATGTGAGTCGACCAAGATACCCACATATTTATAGGAATCAACAAACTCAATGGGGACACCATTTGAGGATAAAATCGGAGGAAGAACTGCTGGGACCAACTTCCTATTTGAAAAAAGCATCCCTTTGGTTTTGTCGGCATTTAGGACAAGTTTGAGGTGGAACAAATCTGTCTGGATGTAGTTAAATGCAGATTTCAAAAGCTGGAAAGCCTTATCAGCTGTTTTAGCTCGACAATAAACAACTGTGCCATCAGCATAGAAATGTATGGATGCATTAGGGATGTTTTTACCTACTTTCTGTATGTAGATTGTAAAGAGGGTGGGTCCTAAGACTGAGCCTTGTGGTACACCATTGTTGACTGTTAAATAACTGGAGGAAGTATCATTATGTTGAACACATTGCATCCGATCTGAGAGATAGTTAGAGAACCAGCCAATGGTGTGCTCTGAGAAACCAATTTCTGAGAGCTTATAACACAAGACGTTATGATCCTCAGTGTCAAAAGCTTTAGACAGGTCTAAGAAAAGTGCAGCACAATAATCCTTATCATCCAGTGCTTCAACAACTTCATTAAGAACCTTCAGTGAAGCAGTCGTTGTGCTGTGTTGTTTCCTGAAACCAGATTGATGTGGAGGTAAGATGTTAAATGAGTCCAGGTAATTTTTGATTTTAGAGTTTATCAGTTTTTCTAGAACCTTGGCTAAAATACAGAGTTTAGAGATTGGCTGATAGTTGTTCAGTGAGGTGGGGTCACCTCCCTTCAGCAAAGGAAGAACAAAGGCTGTTTTCTAAGCATCTAGAATGGAGTTTTGTCTTATGGAGAGATTGAAGATGTGGATCACAGGGACTGTGATGATATGAGCAGCCAGCCTTAAGAAATAAGGTGGAAGTTCATCTGGACCTACAGATTTTTTAGGATCAAGATCTTTTAACAGTTTATTAACCTCACTGACTGAGAATGGAGAAAAAGAGAAGGTGTGATTAACTGAGGATTGACTTGTAGGAGAGATTTCATTTGTAGAAATTTGGTTATTAAGTGAAGTGGCTGATTTTCCATTAGTAACTGTGTCAAATAAAGAACTAGAAGCAACAAAATGTTTGTTGAAACAGTTCAGGATCTCGTGCTTATTTGACACATGAACAGAGTTAACGAGAAGTTGTGATGGGAGGTCAGATGATTGGGGGGTGCCTGAGAGAGATTTGATGGTTTTCTAGAATCTGTTAGGGTCATTTAGATTTTTGGAGGTCTGAGATAAGAAATAGTTGCGTTTTGCTGCTTTGACAGCAGTTGTGCATTTATTCCTCATCTGTTGAAAACTCAACCAATCAGTGTCTGAGTCAGATTTTCTTGCTGTGGCCCAAAGATGATCTCTCCTGTGCAGGAGATCAGCTAGCTCAGGACCAAACCAGGGACTGTCTCGTCCCTTTATTCTGAACTGACGAAAAGGAGCATGTTTGTTAACAAAATAAATGAAACTATTACGAAAATAGTTCCAAGCGGAGTTCACGTCATCATTTAACAGAATACGATGCCAGTCAAAGTGAGACAGATCCCAGAGGAATGACTGTTCACAAAAATGTTTCAGATCCCTTTTTTGAATTAATCTAGGCTTAGAAGGTGGAAGTTTAATATCTCTCAAAGCCGCTGTCACACAATGATCATTCAAGATATTGGCAAATACACCTGTACCAGGGAATTTGTGAGGCATATTAGTTAGAAATAGGTCTAAGATGGAGGATTTTTCAGGAAGGTTTTTGTTTAATCTAGTGGGAGAGTTGATCGATTGGGTAAGCTTGAGAGACAGGAAACA